TATGAGAAGTCCTTCTGGTCTTCTATGAGAAGACCTTCTGGTCTTCTATGACAAGACCTTCTGGTCTTCTATGAGAAGACCTTCTGGTCTTCTATGAGAAGACCTTCTGGTCTTCTATGAGAAGACCTTCTGGTCTTCTATGAGAAGACCTTCTGGTCTTCTATGAGAAGACCTTCTGGTCTTCTATGAGAAGACCTTCTGGTCTTCTATGAGAAGACCTTCTGGTCTTCTATGAGTAGACCTTCTGGTCTTCTATGAGAAGACCTTCTGGTCTTCTATGAAAAGACCTTCTGAGAAGACCTTCTGGTCTTCTATGAGAAGACCTTCTGGTCTTCTATGAGAAGACCTTCTGGTCTTCTATGAGAAGACCTTCTTGTCTTCTATGAGAAGACCTTCTGGTCTTCTATGAGAAGACCTTCTGGTCTTCTATGAGAAGACCTTCTGGTCTTCTATGAGAAGACCTTCTGGTCTTCTATGAGAAGACCTTCTGGTCTTCTATGAGAAGACCTTATGGTCTTCTATGAGAAGACCTTCTGGTCTTCTATGAGAAGACCTTCTGGTCTTCTATGAGAAGTCCTTCTGGTCTTCTATGAGAAGACCTTCTGGTCTTCTATGAGAAGACCTTCTGGTCTTCTATGAGAAGACCTTCTGGTCTTCTATGAGAAGACCTTCTGGTCTTCTATGAGAAGACCTTCTGGTCTTCTATGAGAAGACCTTCTGGTCTTCTATGAGAAGACCTTCTGGTCTTCTATGAGAAGACCTTCTGGTCTTCTATGAGAAGACCTTCTGGTCTTCTATGACAAGACCTTCTGGTCTTCTATGACAAGACCTTCTGGTCTTCTATGAGAAGACCTTCTGGTCTTCTATGAGAAGACCTTCTGGTCTTCTATGAGAAGACCTTCTGGTCTTCTATGAGAAGACCTTCTGGTCTTCTATGAGAAGACCTTCTGGTCTTCTATGAGAAGACCTTCTGGTCTTCTATGAGAAGACCTTCTGGTCTTCTATGAGAAGACCTTCTGGTCTTCTATTAGAAGACCTTCTGGTCTTCTATGAGAAGACCTTCTGGTCTTCTATGAGAAGACCTTCTGGTCTTCTATGAGAAGACCTTCTGGTCTTCTATGATAAGACCTTCTGGTCTTCTATGAGAAGACCTTCTGGTCTTCTATGAGAAGACCTTCTGGTCATCTATGAAAAGACCTTCTGAGAAGACCTTCTGGTCTTCTATGAGAAGACCTTCTGGTCTTCTATGAGAAGACCTTCTGGTCTTCTATGAGAAGACCTTCTGGTCTTCTATGAGAAGACCTTCTGGTCTTCTATGAGAAGACCTTCTAGTCTCCTATGAGAAGACCTTCTGGTCTTCTATGAGAAGACCTTCTGGTCTTCTATGAGAAGACCTTCTGGTCTTCTATGAGAAGACCTTCTGGTCTTCTATGAGAAGACCTTCTGGTCTTCTATGACAAGACCTTCTGGTCTTCTATGAGAAGACCTTCTTGTCTTCTATGAGAAGACCTTCTGGTCTTCTATGAGAAGACCTTCTGGTCTTCTATGAGAAGACCTTCTGGTCTTCTATGAGAAGACCTTCTGGTCTTCTATGAGAAGACCTTCTGGTCTTCTATGAGAAGACCTTCTGGTCTTCTATGAGAAGACCTTCTGGTCTTCTATGAGAAGACCTTCTGGTCTTCTATGAGAAGACCTTCTGGTCTTCTATGAGAAGACCTTCTGGTCTTCTATGAGAAGTCCTTCTGGTCTTCTATGAGAAGTCCTTCTGGTCTTCTATGAGAAGACCTTCTGGTCTTCTATGAGAAGACCTTCTGGTCTTCTATGAGAAGACCTTCTGGTCTTCTATGAGAAGACCTTCTGATCTTCTTTGAGAAGACACTCTGAGAAGACCTTCTGGTCTTCTATGAGAAGACCTTCTGGTCATCTATGAGAAGACCTTCTGGCCTTCTATGAGAAGACCTTCTGGCCTTCTATGAGAAGACCTTCTGGTCATCTATGAGAAGACCTTCTGGTCTTCTATGAGAAGACCTTCTGTTCTTCTATGAGAAGGCCTTCTGTTCTTCTATAAGAAGACCCTTTATCTTCTATGAGAAGACCGTTTGGTCTTCTATGAGAAGACCTTCTGGTCTTCTATGAGAAGACCTTCTGGTCTTCTATGAGAAGTCCTTCTGGTCTTCTATGAGAAGACCTTCTTGGAGAAGACCTTCTGGTCATCTAGGAGAAGACCTTCTGGTCTTCTAGGAGAGGATCTTCTGGTCTTCTATGAGAAGACCTTCTGGTCATCTATGAGAAGACCTTCTGGTCATCTAGGAGAAGACCTTCTGGTCTTCTAGGAGAGGATCTTCTGGTCTTCTATGAGAAAACCTTCGGTTCTTCTATATAAAGACCTTCGGGTCTTCTATAAGAAAACCTTATTGTTTTCTATACAGAGTCCTTCTGGTCGTCCATAAGAAGACCTGCTGGCCTTTCATTAGATAAACTTATGGTCTCCTAAAGGAGGACTTCTGGTCTTCTATAAGAAGACCTGCTTGTCTGACATAGATATAATTTGTGGTTTTCTATAAGAAGAAGACCAGATGGACCTTCTGGTCTTCTCTAAGAAAATTTTCTGGTATTCTATGAGAAGACCGCCTGGTCTATAAGAACAACTTCTCGTTTTCTATGAGAAGACCGCCTTGTCTCTGAGAATACATTCTGGTCTACTATATGAAGATCTTCTGGTCTTTTATAAAAAGACTTTCTGTTCTTCTATAAGAAGACCTACTGGACTTCTATAAAAAAGAACTACTGGTCTTCTATATGAAGACTTTCTGGTCTTCCATATGAAGACCTTCGGGTCTTCTATAAGAAGACCTTCTTTTTCTATAAGAATACCATCTGGTCTTCTGTAAGAAGAATACTTTCTGGTCTTCTATAAGAAGATCTTCTGGTCTTCTATAAGAAGACCTTCTTTCTGTACTTGTGAGGATTGACTTTCTGGGTTTCTATGAGAAAACGTTTTAGTCTTCTATGAGAAGAGTTTTTGGTCTTCTATGATAAGAGGAAATTTTCTGTCCTTTTACCATAAGAGCTTCTATGAGAAGAAAAATGACCATAACAAGATCATCAGTCTTCTCTAAGAAGACTTCCTGTCGGTTCCTAAGACATTTTATCATCATTACCGATTGGTTTCCTCTATGAAGACTTTCTGTCCGGCGTTTCATAAATAATGAATCCATTACTATTTATTACCAAATCTTGTTAATAATAAGAATGAATAACATTTTGTTAGTTATAATTTTAATTATATCTAACAAGCGCCGTGTTAAACGTGGTACGTTGTGATTTTTGAAAATTTCGCTTTGTCATCATTAGAAATGCAACAACATATCAAATCAATAGACACCATGATTAATTTAACTGATAGTTGTTGTTGAATTGTAAATGACTTTGTATTTATTGGATGGAATGTATTGACCCGTGATTGTGAAAACATCATGAAATGCATGCAACATTCCATATTTCACGATGCCAGTTAGAAATTGACCGCCCCGTTTCTATCTACGAGAGCACTGAAAGAAAATGTGCAATGGTGTATAAGGCCATAGTATCTAAAGTCATGCTCTGAAATCATTTACTGTCAGTAGGTCTCAGTTGGCTCGAAGGTGGCTTGCAATGTTCGACCCATTATATCGATGTCGCCGTCGTAGGGGAGTAACATGTGCTGTTTAGTGTACAGAGTGTCATTTCTGCTCACCTTGGCCTGGGCTTTGCCATGCTAAAACCAATCAGAGCCGTTGCATGATCTATCATCCCCTACGTCGCCAATATTTTGATAAAATTGCGGACTCATTTTTGGTATTTTGCTGGTTAAAATCGCATCGTGGAGGCTTGAAGGTCAGGCCAAAATTTATTTTTCTCTGTGTATTTTAGAAATTTCACTTTCCAATCAAAATCAATTTTTTTTTTTGTATCGATGACAATCGGTGTGTGTCTGTCGATCTGACAATTTTAAAAATAAACACCTATTTTACAGAACAGAACTAAACATGTTTTCATTTCATTTTTAACGGGTTCTCAATCTAGTCAGGCACGATTTTTTCTCAGTCATGAGAACGACGATAATTGTTAGTTTAATTTTTCTAATTCCGAAATATCAGAATGCTGCGGCCGTTACAACAGTAAGTGGGTGGTTTATTTTCTGAAAAGAAATTTAAAAAAAAATTCTTAACAGGCTGATCGTATCAAATATGCCGGCTATTCAAGTGAAACCCATAAAGTGAAGACACCGGATGGTTATCAACTGACAATATTTCGCGTCAAGAATTCCGTGCAAAAGAGAAAACTTGCGGATGGTCCTGTTGTACTTCTTATGCATGGTCTTTTTAGTTGTTCCGATTGTTGGGTTATACGTGAATTGGAAAATCCTTTGGCATTCGAATTGGTCGATAAGGGCTATGATGTGTGGTTGGGTAATGCACGCGGAAATGCCTATGGTGATCGTCACATGAAAATGTCATCGAATGATAGGCGATTTTGGCGTTTTTCATGGCATGAAATTGGTACAATTGATTTGCCCTCAATGATCGATTATATTCTCAAGGAAACGCAACAGTCGTCACTACACTATGTCGGTCACTCTCAGGGTTGTACCATTATGTTGGTCTTACTTTCAACACATCCAGAATATAATAACAGACTGAAATCCGTGCATTTACTGGCCCCGGCGGCCTATATGGCAAATGTTCGTGCCCCCTTGTTTCAGCTAATGGTACCGATTTTTGGTCGTTCTCCAATTATAAGTGAACTGCTGGGCGATATACCCCTTCTACAAATTCCGCTTTTACATCAACTACTCGGATTAGAACAGTGTCGTACAGGCGTTGCAAATCCCGAATATTGTTCATCGTTGTTATTTATGGTAGCTGGTGGTTATTCCAGATATTTAAATCATGTAAGTTCCGCAATATTCGAAATGTGGATTTTTTAATTATTCGTTTCCTCTTCAAGTCACTTTTACAGGACATTTATGCCACACATCCATCACCATCGTCCACCCATCAGGCCATACATTATTTACAGCTTAAAATATCCGGACGCTTTCGCCAATATGATTTTGGGCGGGAAGGCAATATTCAGTTGTATAATCACTCAGCACCACCTGAATATCCTTTGGAAAATATTAATCCGAAATTTCCTCTACATTTGTATTACAGCGATTACGATGAGTTGGCAACGCGTAAGGATATTGAGAAATTGAGTAAACGTTTAGGGAACCGTAGTGTTGATCATTACATTGATTTGAAGGATTTTGCTCATATCGATTTTATTTGGGCAAATAACATCCACGATGTTATTAATCGGCCGATTTTGGAAATTATGCAGGATAACGAAGAGCTGTTGGCCAAAAATAATACCATATTATAAAATATTTAATAAAAATATATTTAAAGCCTACAATAGGTCTGGATTTTTTAAAATTAGTTTTTCAAGGCTTAGCAATAGGCGTGGCTTTTTTAAGAACAGGTTCAAGAACTATTAAGTAGGTAATAATAAGAAATCGCATATAAAGCGCTATCCAGTGTGAAGTGTGAACGACATTATTGGACTATACCAATGCGGCTTCAGACCTGGCAAATGTACCATTGAGCAGATTTTCACTCTGTGACAAATCCTGAAAAAGACCCACGAAAAACACATTGGTACATACCACCTATTTGTCGAATATAAAGCCACATTCGACAGCCCTATCCGTTCAGAGGTGTTTAAAGCCATATCTACGTTCGGCATTCCTGCAAAATTAATACGGCTATGCAGGATAACTTTAATTGGCACAAGGTCAGCAGTTAAAGTCGGAAAGGACCTATCGGAGCCCTTCAATATCGAACGAGGATTCACCACCTATTCGTCGACTATAAACCCGCATTTGACAGCCCCATCCCTTCAGAGGTGTTTAAAGCCATATCTACGTTCGGCATTCCTGCAAAATTAATGCGGCTATGCAGAATAACATTAAGTGGCATAAGGTCAGCAGTTAAAATCGGAAAGGACCTATCGGAGCCCTTCAATACCGAACTAGGATTCACCACCTATTCGTCGACTATAAAGCCGCATTTGTCAGCAGTATCCGTTCAGAGGTGTTTAAAGCCATATCTACATTCGGCGTTCCTGCAAAATTTATACGGCTATGCAGGATAACTTTAAGTGGCCCAAGGTCAGCAGTTAAAGTCGGAAAGGACCTATCCGAGCCCTTCAATACAGAACTGGGATTCACCACCTATTCGTCGACTATAAAGCCGCATTCGACAGCCCTATCCGTTCAGAGGTGTTTAAAGCCATATCGACGTTCGGCATTCCTGCAAAATTAATACGACTATGCAGGATAACTTTAAGTGGCACAAGGTCAGCAGTTAAAGTCGGAAAGTACCTTCAATACCGAACTAGGATTTAGACAAGGTGACAGTTTGTCGTGTGATCTTTTTAACATCCTTTGGAAAAGGTAGCACGAGACGCAACGGTGAACAGAAATGGCACTCTGTCCACCAAACAACACATGCTATTCGCCTACGCCGATGACATCGATATAATTGGTCAAACATTGCGAGCGGTTACAGCCATCTTTGAAAAATTTGAGAAGGAGTCTGCCAAAGTGGGTCTGGCAGTAAACGGCGAGAAGACCAAGCTGATTGTATCAACGTGCAAGACGTCCAGTGGACTCGAACCAACTGTGGAACTTGAGAACTACAGCTTCGAGGTAGTTATATGGTAGATTTTATATGCCTTGGTAACGTCATAAATAAAACGAATGCCATCAGTTTTGAAATTCGGATAAGGATTGTGATGGCCAACAGATGCTACTATGGTCTAAGTAAGCAGTTTATAAACAAGACCATATCCCGCCAGAGCAAACTCACACTCTACAAGACGCTGATACCACCCGTGCTATTATATGGATCTGAAGCATGGGTACTTGCGCAAGCAGATGAGGCAGCTCTTGGGGTGTTTGAATGAAAAATTCTCCGAAAGATCTACGGGCCTGCGTCGAAATGTCGCCGTCGAATGGACCACGAGCTTTACAATTAAAACGCGGACATCGACATAGTCAGTCGTATGGAACTGCAGTGACTACGATGGCTAGGCCATGTTGTGCGAATGAACGAGAATGCCCCAGCTCAAAAGCATATATAAGCGAGCCTACTGATGGTTCCCATAGAAGGGGAAGGTCACGAATCAGATGGAAAGACCAAGTAGAAGACAACATATCGAAGCATGGTCTTTGAAATTGGCGGAGATGCGCACAAGACCGACGCGCTTGGAAATCTTTTTAAGCTCGGCTTATGGAACAACTGTCCTGTAACAAGCCAGCTAAGTATGTAATTAAGTAGGTAAAAAATGTAAGCTGTGAAAAACCTATAGTTCCCAAAATATTATATTTTCTGATGTAGGGTATCACCGATTTTTTTTTCAGATTAAAAAAAAAATTACTTTCCAGTAATAAACCTTGAACACGACTAAAATTTTATGGGAAATGCGTTAAAATATTTAATGAGATTTTTGTTCATATAAACATGGCAACTTTTAGAGCCTCGCCACAATATTCCGATTTCTAAACCATTAGCCTCTGTTTTTCATATTCATGATGAATATAAAAGTAATTTCAATATTTGTGGCGGTTTTTCTATTAGCGCTACAGGATGTAGGAGCACTGACAACTGTAAGTTCAAGACCCATTAATGTCTTGCAAATATTGAAATTTTGGAAAACCTCCTCCTTTAGGCTGACCGCATAAAAGATGCCGGCTACCACAGTGAGGCGTATAATGTAACCACTCCCGATGGTTTTGGTATAACCGTGTTTCGTATTAGAAAACCAAGTGCCTTAAATGATGCCAACCGACCTGTGGCCTTATTACAGCATGGCTTAGTTAGCTCCTCAGATATTTGGGTGTTGAAAGGGGTACCAAGTCCCTTAGCCTATACATTAGTTGAAAATGGTTATGATGTATGGTTGGGTAATACCCGTGGCAATCCTTATGGAGGTTATCATTCACAATTATCTATGGATTCTGCGGAATATTGGCGTTTCACGTGGCATCAAATTGGTCTTCTAGATCTGCCCAGTATTATTGACTTTGTATTGAAAACGACAAAACAAAATAGCCTTCATTATGTGGGACATTCTCAGGGTACTACAACAATGTTTGTATTACTTTCCAGCCGCCCTGAATATAATGCGAAATTGAGATCAGTACATCTATTGGCTCCGGTGACATTTATGGAACATAGCACTTCGACGTTAATAAAACTCACCGCCCCACTGCTGGGCAGTTATTCTTTTTTGACACCATTGGTTGGTGACAACGCCCTTATTGATAATGTTTTCATCCGCAACATTTTGGGAATGGAAAGTTGTCGTCGGACTGAAGGTGCACTCTTCATTTGTCCCTATTTATTCTTTTTGGGTTTTGGTGGCAAATCCGACTATACTTTGGAAGTAAGATTTGCAAAAGGAATTATAAATTTTATAATCTTGATTTTTTTAATAACACCTCCTTCTAGGATGTCTATCCCGATTTTTATGAAACTCATCCGGCCCGTTGTTCCACCAATCAAGCCATACATTATGTGCAACTTTATAAATCGCGTAAATTCCGTCAATTTGATTTTGGCACTAAAAGCAATCAGGAACGTTATAAGCAGGATACCCCACCAGATTACCAATTGGCCAATGTAAATCCACAATTTCCACTGCATTTATATCACAGTAAGGATGATAGTTTTTCAGCTGTTGAAGACGTCGAGCATTTGGTACAACGTTTGGGTAATAAAACTGTTCGCCATTTTATTGATTTGGATAATTTCGCTCATATGGATTTCGTCCTGGGCTATAATGTTAAGGATGTCGTTAATGCTGATGTTTTGAGTGAAATGAAGCGGGTCGATAGTCTATTGCAGTAGTTGATGACATGATGTTAATATTTTGAAATAAATTAATATACCTATAGTTTCTTTTGGGGACATTCCTACTTACTTAGCTGGTTTGTGACAGAACGTTTGTTCCATTAAAATTTTTCACGCACGTCTTTCTTACAGTTGATCTCTCCATCGAATTCGTGATCATCCCCTTCTGCGTGAATCATCACTTGGCTCGCTTTTATATGCCTTTTGAGCTGGGGCATCATGGATGACCTAGCCAACATACTCGATGCAGCCATATACGTCTGACTATATCGATGTTCGAGATTAGATGGTACAACTAATGGTTCATTCGACGGCCACAATCACCGTAGACGCAGATCAGCCTATAGATCTTTCGAATCATTTTTCTCTCTGACACTCCAAGAGCTGCCTCATCTACTTGCGCAAGTACCTTTGCTTCAGATCCATACAATAGAACGGGTAGTATCAGCGTCTTTTAGAGTGTGAATTTGTTCTGGCGAGAGGTGGCCTTGTTTTTCAATTGCTTACTCCGACTATATAGCATCTATTGGTCAACACTATTCTCCTCCGAATTTCAAAACTGATGTCATTCGTTTTATTTATGGCGGTACCAATGTATATAAAATCATTGACTACCTCGAAGCTGTAATTTTCAAGTTACGCAGTAGGTCCGAGTATACTGTACGTCTTGTTGATAACATCAGCTTGGTCTTCTCGCCGTTTACTGCCAGACCCACTTTGGTAGACTCCTCCTCAATTCGTTCAAAGGTATATGTTACCGCTCGAAATGTTCGACCCATTATGTCCATGTCATCGGCGTAGGCGAGTAACATATTTTGTTTGGTGTACAGAGTATCATTTCTGTTTACATTTGCATCTCGTATGACTTTTTCCTCGTTCAGTATGTAAGCGCTCAGAGAGGTTCTTTCCGACTTTAATTGCAGACCTTGTGCGAGTTGAAGTTATCCTGAATAGTCGTATTCATTTCGCAGGAATGCCGAACGCAGACCGGGATGAACTGCCGAATGTGGCTTAGGTGGAATGTGTCGATTTTTTTGTGTCTTTTCCAGGATTTGGTGCGGAATGAAAATGTGGTCAATGGTGGATTTGCCTGGCCTCATTGACCATTGGCTTCAATCATTCACACAGTGCGCTTTATAACCCTTTATAGCCTTTTGGGGATATGTTTTGAATAATTCTTCTATCCAATCTGAATGAACATTGACTCATATTTCACTATATATCGCCCATAGCTTAGTTTTCCTTCCGGAACAGGAGATCATATACGATCTTTTTATGATTTTCTCAATTAAAGAAAATTTGCAAGATACAACCGGTTATGCAGAACTCTACTGCTGGGTTCTGTTATGGTAGCTATTCCTTCCATTATATTTCTATTTTTGATGCTGTGAGTTTTCTCAATAGCTGGGCACAAGTGTACGGCATATTTTAACCATAAATTAACCCAATAACAAATACCGCTCACGTTTTCGGCAGACAATTTTGGGTTCTGTTATAGTATCTATCCCTTTCCATTCAGATTTACATTTTTATTGATTTGTTTGTTACGTTGGTTACATACTGGATATTACCCCCATTCCTTTGGATAATGGACTCCAATTTTTGAAATAGCTAAAAAGGGGCGGCAAAGTGAATGCAACATACATTTCGCTCTTATTCGACCATTCTGTATGCATCACCTTGACGACGAAGCGAGTGCTCAATCGTATTTCTTACCTGTTCGGCTAATCTTAATAAATCATCCTGTTGACGAGTAATGCGGTATTTGTTGCAGAGTGAAAATCTGGTCTATGGTGGATTTGCCAGATCTGATATGGTCCAATAAAGTCATTAACCATTGGCTTCAGTTGTTCACAAAGTAGCACTAGATAGAGAAGACCATAACTATATTAGGTTTAAAATATTCTTCCGAAACAAGTCTAAGATTAACTTGCTAAAATTCGGGAGACTGATTAAATATAGGTTAGGGCTGCCCTACAATGACAGCCTGAACACTGACAGAAATTGTAAAGTCTTTCTAAGAAAGTTGTCCACAGTATACTGGGACAACTTCCTCTCTAATGGGAAAGAATATAACAAAGTGACAAGAACCGCAAGAACGCAACTCCTGGCAAATGTTCTGAGAGCGTAAATGATGTCTCAAAACTAACGAAGTTTCAATTAAAACCCCGCACTCAAACCAAAACCACAATAGATGAGAGGGGAGACAGAATAGAGGCAACAGAAGAAACAATAAGACTCCTCATGAAAGCTCACTTCCCACATCGACATCTGATAATGAAGGGAGGAAATATAGCTGTATTCTTCCACTGAAGTGGCTGCAATTGGACAGGTTCTATCCATGGGTAACAGGTATACTCACAAATATGTTCAAAGGTAATAGCTCTTACACTGTACCCTTGATTGAAGTTATTTTAAGGTATTTAAATGCAACTCGCGATTGTCTAATGATTGTTTTTTTCCTGTTACTCTTCTTGGGAGCATAAGGTTTTCACTAAGCATTACCATGTTACGCGATTGCTCCTTGTGTTAGTTAAGTTAATTATTGTTCTATTCCAGTTAAGTAGATGACTGGTCTGCTGTAGCCTGCACTTAATGAGCGGGCTGTCATCTATCGTTGCATAGAAACAACGCCTCCTTGAATTTTGTGCCGTGTATGTGGTCGATGCTTATTGAGTGTTGTCATTTTCCTCTGGGTGGCGCTATCTCCTGTCATTCCAGTTTCGTAGTATCCTAATGTGTTAATGTTGAGTTCATGTCGAGATTGGCTATTGGTATGATTGATCTGCTGCAGCCTGTACTTGATGATGGGGCTGCCATCTATCGTTGCCTAGAAACAACGCATTCACGAATTTTGTTCATGTGTTGTTGTCCTTGGTTATTAAGTTTTGCCACTTTCCTCTCGGTGGAGATATCCCCTGACATTCTTTGTTTGTGTTAACCTCATCTTGGTATTTCGTTGATGCGGAGGTGAAGTGGTTGTCAGATCTCGTTGCCTGAAAACAACACCTTCTTGAATTTTGTACAGTGGTTAATTATGTATTCCGTTTTGCCTTTTCCCTCTGTGTGGCGTTATCCTAATGTGTTACTATTGAGTTTATGCCGAGATTGGCTATTGATATGATTGGTCTGATGTAGCCAATACAAGGTTAAGGGGCTGCCATTTATCGTCGTTGGAGTCATTGCTTATTTAGGTTTTTCCCATTTTCCTCGGGGTGGCATAGCTTCTGACATTCTGGCTTTGTGTTACCCTCATATGTTGATGTTTATTTGATGAAGACATATGCTATTAAAATGATTTTTCGGCTGTAGTCTGTACTAGGTGAGTGGCTACCAACTATCGTTGGCTGAAAACAACACCTCCTTCAATTATGTGCAGTGGTTAATTATGTATTTAGTTTTACCCTTTCCCTCTGGGTGGCGCTATTGTCTATCATTCCTCTTTTGTGTTACCCTCATGAGTTGATGTTGAGCTGATGCAAAGGTTGGTCATTATAATGTCAGGGACTTTCTGATGCATTTCATCTGGAAGAGAATAAAGTTTGGAAAAAATTATATTAAATTTATAACAATAATAATTGAAATAATATTTCAAGCTCTTCCTATGGTACTCACACCATCTTCTGGTGTAGGGTACATTCGATTATTTGTTTCTGCTTATCAAATAATTACCTTCCACAAATATAACTGGAGCACGACTAACATTTTAGGGGAATTCGATCAAATATTTAATGAGATTTGTGTCCTATATAATCGCGACAATTCGTAGAACTTGCTCAGAACATTTAAAATTATATAATATTATAACAGTCGTGCTAATTACTCATGACTGTGAAAATAATTTCCATATTTGTCGCTGTTTTCCTCTTAGCGCTACAGAACGTTGAAACCCTGACAACTGTAAGTTAAAGACACATTTGTATTTTGAAAAAAAAAAAAAATATATATATATAATAATTAAAAAAAACCCTCAGGCAGATCGCATAAAAGATGCCGGCTACCAAAGTGAAGAGTATAATGTAACCACCCCCGATGGTTTTGGTATAACCGTATTTCGTATTCGAAAACTGAACGCGCCGAACAATGTCAAACTACCTGTGGCCCTGCTACAACATGGCTTAGTTAGCTCCTCCGATTTTTGGGTGTTGAAAGGTGTACCCGATCTCTTAGCCTATACTTTAGTTGAGAATGGATATGATGTATGGTTGGGTAATACCCGTGGTAATCCTTATGGCGGCTATCACCCCAAATTATCAACGGATTCTCGAGAATTTTGGCGTTTTACATGGCATGAAATTGGTGTTCTGGATCTGCCCAGTATTATTGACTTCGTATTGAAAACGACCAAACAAAATAATCTGCATTATGTTGGTCATTCTCAGGGTACTACATCAATGTTTGTATTACTGTCCACCTATCCGCAATATAATGCGAAGTTGAGGTCAGTACATCTAATGGCTCCGGTGGCCTTTATGGAACATAGCACTTCTAAATTGATAAAGCTCTCCGCACCATTACTGGGTAGTTATTCCTTTATGACGCCATTGGCTGGTGACAACGCCCTAATTGACAATGTTTTCATCCGCAACATTTTGGGAATTGAAAGCTGTCGTCGAACGGAGGGGGCTCTTTTCATTTGTCCCTTTGCAGGTAAAACCTTCCTCCCTCTTAGGATGTCTATCCCGACTTTTATGAAACTCATCCGGCCCGTTGTTCAACCAATCAAGCCATACATTATGTGCAGCTTTATAAATCGCGTAAATTCCGTCAATTTGATTTTGGAACTAAGGGCAATAAGGAACGTTATAAGCAGGATACCCCTCCAGATTACCAATTGGCCAATATAAATCCACAATTTCCACTGCATTTCTATCACAGTAACGATGATGCTTTTGCAGCGGTTGAGGATGTCAAGCACTTGTCCGATCTTTTGGGTAATAAAACTGTTCGACATTTTATTGATTTGGATAATTTTTCCCATATGGACTTTGTCATCGGCTATAATATTAAGGATGTCATTAATGGTGATGTTCTGAATGAAATGAAGCGGGTCGATGGTTTGTTGCAGTAGTTAATATTTCAGGTATATATTTTAAAATTTGAAATACATTATATTTGAAGAGTATATCTAGCATGATTTTCGAATAGGTGAACCTTTGAGAAAACTGCACTTAATTGTGAATAAAAACATCATTGGTTCATCGATTTCTTTGACCAATGTCTCATTTTATTCAGAGGTTATGTGAATTTTGGTGAACGTTAAATTAATTTTTCTTTCACAAAAAAGTTGCGGAATTTTAGCGTGACCTTTTTATACAACAAATAGGTAGCTTAAGCCTAGTCCGCTAACTGCTTCACGAAAGTACTCCTTGTTCTGATAATAATATAGAATCCAATGGCAACGAATTGCCTACTCTCTGCAAACTGCAGCAAAAGCAACACTTGGGTACCATAGACCACCATCAAGAAACCCATGGTACGATCAGGAGTGTCGTAATGCTACTGATGCGAAAAATGCAGCGTATATAGGCCAAGCCTGCAGACAGTAGCAACACGTAATGCGAGGGAGAATTATCGGGAGAAAATGAGAGAAGAAAGAAGAAAAAAAACGCGAGGGGATTAAATCGATATATACAAGAGGAATGTTCGGAAATTTTACTAAATCAGCAAACCGAAAGTTTTGGTGCAAGCACATCCTCCTGTTGAGATGAAGATGGAAACCTGGCGACAGATATTGATAGGGTGTTAATGATCTGGAAGGAGCATTTTGCAAAGCTTCTGGTATCAAATAGTGGCGGTGAAGAAGATGCCCACAAACAATTAGAGATGACGGTATATATTGTATACCACCTAGCCAAGATGAGGCCAGAGTAGCAATTAATCGGCTGAAGAATAATAAAGCAGCAGGTGCCGATGGATTACCAGTCGAACTATTCAAGACCGGTGGTCAATGCTGGTCTGGAGCATGCACAAGCTGATTAGTAGAATTTGGCTAGAGGAATACATGACCAATGACAGGAACCTGAGCATCGTGTGCCCGTGAACAAAAAAGAGACCAGACGATATATTCCAACTATAGAGAAATATGTCTCCTTTCCATCGCATATAAAGTGTTATCCAGCGTACTGTGTGAACGACTGAAGCCAATGTTCAATGATGTTATTGAATCTTAACAATCCGGCGGCTTCGGACCTGGCAAATCCACCATTGACCAGATTTTCACTCTGCGCCAAATCATGACAAAGACCCACGAAAAACACATCGACACATACCATCTATTTGTCGAATAAAAAGCCCCATTCGACAGTCTTATCATAACAACACATGTTACTCGCCTACGCCGATGACATCGATATAATGGGTCGAACATTGCGAGCGGTAACAGCCACCTTTGAACAAATTGAAAAGGAGTCTGCCAAAGTGGGTCTGGCAGTAAACGGCGAGAAGACGAAGCTGATGTTATCAACGCGCAGGAGGTCCAGTAGACTCGGACCAACTGGGGAACTTGAGAACTACAGCTTCGATGTAGTTAAAGACTTTATATACCTTGGTACCGCCATAAATAAAACGAATGACATCAGTTTTGAAATTCGGAGAAGGATTGTGATGGCCAACAGATGCTACTTTGGTCTAAGTAAGCAGTTTAGAAACAAGGCCACCTCCCGCCAGACCACCTCACACTTTACAAGACGCTGATACTACCCGTGCTATTATATGGATATGAAGCATGTGTACTTGCACAAGCAGATGAGGCAGCTCTTGAAGTGTTTGTGAGGAAAGTTCTCCGGAAGATCTATGGTCCGATCTGTGTCAACGGTGAATATCGGCGTCGAATGAACCACGAGCTTTACAATTTATACGCGGACATCGACATAGTCGGTCGTATTGAGCTGCAGCGACTACGGTGGCTAGGCCATGTTGTGCGGATGAATGAAAATGCCCAGCTCAAAAGGCATGTGAAAATGAGCCTACTGATGGTTCCCGTAGAAGGGGAAGACCACGAATTGGATGGAAAGACCAAGTAGAAAACAACATCTTGGAACGTGGTCTTCCAAATTGGTGGACTTGCGCACAAGACCGACGCGCTTGGAAATCTTTTTTAAGCTCGGCTTATGGAACAACCGTTCTGTAACAAGCCAGCTGATCAAGTAAGTCTCTTTGGACAAAAACAAATGTATTCCTTCCAAGTTGTTTTTTTTCCGTTCCATGACTCTCTCCCCACTCTAGCTCTTGTTTACAACCGCGGGTTCTCTAGTTATTGTGTCTTTATTTCAGACAATCTTACCGACCTATGCATTGGTGGTGCAAAATTCGCATATGGATTTTACAAACTATTTCGATGTAAATGTCATATACAATATAACAAATAAGTGTTGATATGGCCCGAACTGAAAGTTTAACATCGGATAGGAATGTTATATATATATATGTTTTTGGTATATACCGGTCACGTGTGTCTTAAAGGATTAAAAAAAATAACGATTGAAAATATCGTTTCTGTTCCATAAGCCGAACTTAAAATATATTTCCAGACGCGTTGGTCTTGTGCGCAACTCTTCTAATTTGAAAGACCATGTTTCAAAATGTTGTCTTCCACTTGATTTTTCCATCAAATTCATGGCCTTCCCCTTCTGCGTAAACCATCAGTTGGCTTGCTTTGATATGCCTTTTGAGCTGGGGCATCCTCATCCACTCTCACAACATGACTTAGCCAACATAGTCGCTGCAGCTCGATACGTCTGACAATGTCGATGTTTTAGAATAGATGGTACAACTCAAGATTCATTCGGCGATATTCACTGACAACGCATATCGGCCCACAATCTTTCGGAGAATTTTTCTCTCAAACACTGCCTCATCTGCTTGCGCAAGTACCAATGCTTCAGATCCATGTACCAGCACTGGAGTACTGTCGTCTTGTAGGGTGTAACTTTGGTCTGGAATCTTTTCCAGGATTTGGCGTAGAGTAAATGTCTGGTCTATGGTGAATTTGCTAGTTCTGAAGCCGCATTGGTATGGTCCAATAATGCCATTGACCCATGGTCACAAAGCACGCTGGATAGCACTTCTTTGTGCGCAGGACACAGGATGCTGACGTTCCAAATATATCATAAAGATATGTATATCCTTGTTGGAGGGTATTATAGGATATTTTTAAGGTGACATATTTTAGAAAAATTCAACGAGGAATATTTTTGTCCACCTTCTTTCTATCTCTATAACTTTTCCTCCAATTTCTGATATGAAAAAAGTACCTCAAAATTAAACTATTTAACATTATTACTTGTACCAACAACATCGACTAGTTACCACTTTTTATGACCATATTCTTCCCCTTCTTGCACTCCTTAAATTACCAACTTGTTGCCTGGGCTGGCTGTATTTCAAGGTGATTAACACAATTTATCAAATCAGAAAATTACAAACTGCTTTTCATTTTTTTCAAACTTAAAACAGGTCGGTCGTCCCATGCCCACTTATTTCAAATGAGCAATGGGTGGATGGTGGATGGATGGGTAGGCGCTACCTTTTTTCTTCCGATGGTGTTGAACTTTCATAATGAACCTTTTTTTCTGTGGTGCATTTAATGCCTGTGGCGCTAACAATTTTCTTTCACATTTATTTTTTTTTGTGGTTTGTCCAACTCCTAAAGTTCTAAGGCGTTTTCTTCGTTTTATCTTAAGTCTTAAGCGAAATAAATGAAGGAAGACGGTGACTTCGTCATCGTCACTTGTAGGTTTTTTCATCTGCTTAGCCATGGTTACAAAGTTCTTTGTGGCCGCTTAGCTGTTTTTGTTCTAAATTCTTCTTTGGTGATTTCTGTGGTGTAGTCATCATTAATAAGAAAAACATCACTTAATCAATTTCAGTTAAGACCCACGCCTCCAAATCTATTTCTTTATTGCAGCTCATCATTTAGCATGATTTTGAAAGCTGTTCCTGTTTGAAGTCAACATTTTTTTAATGATGGTGTCTTTTTATTTTTTTTTCTTTACAGAATGTTACTAACATGGCCAATAGGTAAGTACATTTTTTTGGTAGCAGGTACTTAGATTTTTTTTTAAAAAATAGTTTTTCAGCCTCCAAACAAGGCGTGGATTTTTAAAGAATAGTTTTTCAGGCTCCAAACAAGGCGTGGATTTTTTAAAGTATAGTTTTTCAGGCTCCAAATAAGGCGTGGATTTTTTAAAGAATAGTTTTTCAGGCTCCAAACAAGGCGTGGATTTTTTAAAGAATAGTTTTTCAGGCTCCAAACAAGGCGTGGATTTTTTAAAGAATAGTTTTTCAGGCTCCAAACAAGGCGTGGATTTTTTAAAGAATAGTTTTTCAGCCTCCAAACAAGGCGTGGATTTTTAAAGAATAGTTTTTCAGGCTCCAAACAAGGCGTGGATTTTTTAAAGTATAGTTTTTCAGGCTCCAAACAAGGCGTGGATTTTTTAAAGAATACTTTTTCAGGCTCCAAACAAGGCGTGGATTTTTTAAAGAATACTTTTTCAGCCTCCAAACAAGGCGTGGATTTTTTAAAGAATAGTTTTTCAGGCTCCAAACAAGGCGTGGATTTTTTAAAGAATAGTTTTTCAGGCTCCAAACAAGGCGTGGATTTTTTAAAGAATAGTTTTTCAGGCTCCAAACAAGGCGTGGATTTTTTAAAGAATAGTTTTTCAGGCTCCAAACAAGGCGTGGATTTTTTAAAGAATAGTTTTTCAGGCTCCAAACAAGGCGTGGATTTTTTAAAGAATAGTTTTTCAGGCTCCAAACAAGGCGTGGATTTTTTAAAGAATAGTTTTTCAGGCTCCAAACAAGGCGTGGATTTTTTAAAGAATAGTTTTTCAGGCTCCAAACAAGGCGTGGATTTTTTAAAGAATAGTTTTTCAGGCTCCAAACATGGCGTGGATTTTTTAAAGAATAGTTTTTCAGGCTCCAAACATGGCGTGGATTTTTTGAAGAACAGATTTTCAGGCTCCAAACAAGGCGTGGATTTTTTAAAGTATAGTTTTTCAGGCTCCAAATAAGGCGTGGATTTTTTAAAGAATAGTTTTTCAGGCTCCAAACAAGTCGTGGATTTTTTAA